GTGAGAATTCAAGGGGGGGGGACCGAGAGTGTGAGAATTCGAGGGGAGGGGACCAAGAGTGTGAGAGTTCGAGGGGGGGGAGCCGGGAGTGTGAGAATCAAGGGGGGGGGGAGCAAAAACATTTGGAGCAAGAAGAGAGGCAAAACTGACCCTAGGGTGGGGGTGAACTCAAGCGCAGCACTTCAGTAGAAAGCGGGACACGTCAACATTTTTGAGGAGAATGGATATGGTTATTAAGATTCTCTTGTCAATCTTCTCCCCTGGTGCGGACACCTTTGGGGCAAGCCCTTTGACAACTCGCTGTGGCAATTGGCATGTTTGAGCAGGTAGCCCATGATGCATGATTGAAAGGGACAGGCCTTCAACTGTCCAGAAAACCAGAGCCAGAAGGGGACAAGGGCATACCTGAGGGCCGCATGGCATACCTGAGGTGCGACATTTGGAAAGGACATAAGGGGTACAGTAGGCCAGACTTCAAGAACAAGGCACTCTGCTCGTTTCAAAAGTCAAACTCAGTTATCAAACAAAGGCATCTAGAGTAACAGTGGTCTCTGAGCAAGATGGAGGGGTGGAAGAGACTGTTGGGCAGTCCCTAGCGACTTGAAAAGCAGTCTTCAAAAGGTAGCAATTCCGAACAAAACCGTTTCAATAGCAGCCTTTTGGGATCAGAGCTTTGATATCAAAGCGATTGACTCTTCAAAACTTTAAGAAGGAGGGAAGCAAAAGTAGCCCTCCAACGACATCAAGTTGGCATCCGGGTAGGTTAAGGTCAAATAGCAACTCAAGGGCGTGTGTTAAAAAGGGAATGGTGGCATTGTCTTGCAGCGGAATTGCCGAGAACTGGAATAGCAACGGTGCAAGCGAGTGAGTGACCCGGTATGCCCACTACTGAAACTAGGCGAGGGCGTATCAGGAGCTCGACAGTCAAGCCCAACGGACGCAGCATTGCATTTGGCGCTACAGCAAGGAATTGGATGCAAACGCAGGCAGTAGCGCCCGCAAAGGTCCAAACAAAAGCGGCGAAAGCTCATAGTAATAAAAACCTTTCACTGATCGATAAAGCGTTCAACAATCAAGTCCTGAGCAAAATTAGATGGGCTCGTTGCGATGCATCATGTTGCCCATTCCGCAACACTGCTTAGAAGCCACAGAGCGACCAGCGGATGCTGATGCAATTGGGCAATGCAGCAATTACCTTTCAAGGACCCAAGCTTCCAATTCAGACCATGATAGTCCGCAGCAAAACACCCTTGAAATTACTGAGATTTGAGCCCAAAAGCCTTCGTTCCCCAGAACAAACAATGCAACCCAAATTTTAAGCACACCATAGAATTTATCAAAGTTGACCAGCAACTCACCCGGTGCTCCTTATAGATCTGGTTCTCGTTGATCTCGTAATCCAGGCTCTCGATGATCGGCCCCACCGACGCCGGCCCAGTCGTCACTTTCACCTCGCACTCCCCGTTCTCCAAGTCCGGCACCTCTTTGAGATCCTCTGTCTGCACCCCCACGTTTCCAAAGTACTCGGGGCGCGGCGAGCCCCCGTCGCCGCTGCTGTATTCGGCGCCCGTCAAGTCTGCCTGATTGTGAAACCCCTGGGGGGAGTCGTTTTGTCCCCGGGGGGACACGCCCCGACTGATGATATGCCCGTGCTCCACCCCCACCTGTGCTGGGGGGGGGTGCCCGTTGCTGCTGCCAAAGCTGCCCAGCAAGGGGCTCTTGAGGTCGTCCGCCATCTTTAGGGGGGGGAGATGCGGTGCAGGTTTCAGTGGGCTGCTCAGCTCAGTAAGAAAAGGGGCGTGGCCAGCTAGCTGCTACGAATGGCAGCCCCCATGCTGCAAAGGAACGGAGACTAGTGCAAGCAGCAGCTGATATTGAGAAATGATATTGCAAGCGCCGACCGCCAATGCAAAGTTGGTGCTGCAGTAGTGGTGCAGCCCTGCGGCGCAATGCCCCTGTCTTCTTATCCGTGTTTCCTCCTCGCCCGCCAATTTCTACCAGGACCAGGTTAGGTAGTACCACCATTCTCCTCTCTCGGATTCATTTGTCGACAGTGGAGGGCGCGATCACCGCCATTGCCCACCTTGGCAGAAGTCGCTGTCGAAATTCAGCCTCACTTCACTGCATGAGGCTGCATGGGCGCCATTGGCATGCTTGACATCACTATCTGTCCTGTGTCAGACATGTCAGACTGGTCTTCGCTTGCACGGCGACTGATTTCATAGGCTATGATGAGAAAGCAGGTATAAGCGCTTTGGTACCGGTCAAGTGGGGTATTTAAATTTTGAGGCAAATTGAACTGAAAGGCCGACTCGGAGGCAGACTGTATAATCTGTATTATCCTTCCATTCGCAGATTCAAATTTAGAGTCTCGACTCTCGAATCTCATTTATTGTCCTGGTCGCCGGAAACATATCCATCGAATCTGGACTGGGCGCCGCACAATAATTTGCCACAGGAGAAGCTCAAATGCATAATTTCAAAGGCTCCGATGCCCCAAGAGTGCAGCAGGCAACTTGTATGAGTACCTAATCTGACGGCTGAACCGCTTGCAGAGAGCCCTGACGACATAGATGATAGCATGCCAGCCCGCAGCAAATTGTTTAATTATCGTACATGCAGCATGTCTAGTTTGTTACGCCAGGGGGATCATCCTTCTTGCTAGTATTCCCTGCGCTTGAGCTGTGCATGGTGCAATCTGCACAGCAACTCAGGCGAATCTGGAGGTGGCGTGTCCATGCGCCAGCTCATTTCTCTGTACAAACGCCGAATGCAGCAGATTGTCGCTTCTGGACTTAGGGGATTGCCCTTGCATTCTGTTTTGTGACGGGCCAGACATGCCCGCAGAGAAAGACGTCAGCAAGGGCAGAGGGGGGGCAAGTTTTCCGAGGGAGAGCCTCTGAGAGCCTCTGAAAAGAGCTGAGCGGCCAAGGGACGACACCACCATTTGGCGCCGGATGATTACCGCCTGTCGGCAGGCAGGCCCCCTCTCCTGCCGCCAAAGCATATGTTCTGCTCATCTCAAGGCGCATATCCTTGACGCCACCAGACCTTTTCCGCTCGCATTCGATTCAGTACTGACAACCTGTGTACGCACAAGAGCAGCCGACGTACCACAGCGCGTGTTGGAAAATTCCGGAAGGGACTCGTGCAACAGTTTCAGAATCGCAGCACTTAGCCCAAGATCCTTGAGACAGAGTCAAACGCGCCCTTTCACTGCGATGGCATTCGTGGCCGGCGCTGAGGTGGCGTCGGAACGGACGACTGAGATGATTCCGGAGCGGACGGCCGAGATGGCGCCAGAGCAAAATGCTGCTCCTGGAGGTGCGGCATCGGTGGAGGAAGTCCATGTGGTGCTGGACCGCAGCAAGTTTGTGAAGAGAGTGACGGTGCAGGCGCTGCGGGTTCCCAAGGGGGCGTGTCACCAGCTCGTCAAAAAGCTGAGCAAGTGAGGGGAATGGCTGCTTTGCCCGGTGAATATTGCAAGATGTTCACAATCTTGGCGCCTAGGTTGAAAGTTACTTCGCATTGTTGGAGCCGGTATGTTACGTTGTGTGCCTGAATTGGAGGCCTGCCACCAACCGTGTAAGAAGCGGAGCAAGTAAGCGCTTCCGACTGACGGCGCTGCAAAAGTGTTGTCTTGCACATTCGACACCTGGGAGGCGGGTTTCACTGCATTCTTGCAGCCCATGTGAGGGGAGCATGTGCCCTGACATAGGACCCGTCAAGAATCTGATGGATGAAGAATCTGAGCAAATGAGCACTTTTGGGGCATCCTTGCAGGGTTTAGAACTCACGAGGTACAAAGATAGTCCTTGTGATGGTAGCTAAGATATGGACAATCTCAGTGAAAGTCGTAAGACGAGGTTTGCCGCCTCGCTGCTCAGCCTGCTTGGACTGCCCCTCGGGATTGTGATCCACCTTGCAGTATTCTGGGCACATGCACCCTCGGCCACCGCAAGTTTGCGACATGTTTGTCACGTTCAGGCAATTGGATTGCGAGGGTTGGGAACATACCTGTGCCTAGATTGCAAGCGGATCACAATACTGAGTTGAAAGAACTGCTCACAGACCCTCAAAGGCTGGCCTCAGTGTCGTAGCCCTGACCACAGCTAAGCGTGATTCACCCGCAGGTTCAAGGCAGAGTACCCAAAAGTGCGGAATGTGATTGTGGAAGAGGCCCGACCAGAAACGCGGCTCATCCTCCTGGGCGAGAACGTGAGCGGTTTGGATCTTGCGGGGCTCCCGGAGAGCGTTGCGGCGGAACTGAAAGCGGACCGGGATGTGGAGATTACGCAGCACGAGGTTGTGCTCGACTACGATAGTTACACTGCGGGTAAACACATAACCTGCTTTGTTGTCTGAGATTTTCATCGGTTTGCTTCTTTCGCTTTTCTCACGAGCCTGGAAAGCCAAGAAGAAAAAGTTGTGCCTCTGGGGGTGCGGCGATGCATTGGTAGTTGCTTTGCGGTAAAACCCGTGGCTTGCCAATTGCTCTCCACAAAGTAAGATTGACTGTCAACCAAGTTTTATCAAATCGCAGTGCCCTTAAAGCAGGGTCGTCATTTGTTTGCCAGCATCCTGCAAGCTAAGCAGGTCTTCTTAGGGGCGGCCATGATTCAACCAAGAAGGAATTTCTGCGTGCGACCAGTCAATATAAGCGCTTAAGTTGCCAGCTGGAAGCTCAAAAGTCTCGGCAGTTCTGGGTCAAGACCCAGTCTCTGCTCCCCTTTGCAGACCAAGTGCTGAAGGAGGTTCTTCCTGCGGGAGCCGAGGTGCCGAGCTCGTTCGAGACGATTGGACACGTGGCCCACGTGAACCTGAGGGACGAGCTGCTGCCGTACAGGAGGATAATCGGTGCGGGTTCTGCGCAACGCTTGGCTTATGTCCACGTTCAAGCGATATAACACATAGTTTGATAAAGCTGAGATCGTGTTTCCCTCAGTGGCCAAATGCTTCGGCAGGACGATTTTTGAGCTTTCTGTAAGATTAGAGCTTTGGTGCCAGCACAGCTGAGTGACTCAAGCTGTTTCACGACCTGAATCGTCAGCTTCAGTAGCCCAATTGAAGCTTTTACAAGTGATCCTGGCATAATGTTACTCTCTTTCCAAGCAGCCAAGAAAGCGCTTTGGAAGAGTTGGGCATTGTGTCATTACCTTAACGAATCGTTTACAACAGTATCTCACCCGCACTCACCTTACAGTACACATCCCACAACCCCCTGCCAGGCGGGGTGCTTTGGGAATCCCATCTTAGGCTGCCGAGCTTCTGAAGACCCGAAGGTTGACGCAGAATGAGGGACATTCTCAGGGGAAGTAACTTCCCGTGCATCGGCCACGGAATGACGACGAACACCTTGGCGCAGCCGTCCCCAGTTTCTTCTACATCAAAACAAGCCTCGTTCTCAATCCATCTCGGTTTCCACCCCTGCCAGGCGAGGTGCTTTCGGAGAGGAACTCTCCACGCATCCGCACCGTCCTCAACGAAGTGGGCACTGTCAAGAAAGAATCCCTTAAAAGCAGCCGTTCATCCGATATCCAGATTCGTTTACTACCAAAATGACCCCGTTTTCAACCCAGTCGGTAACCCATCTTGTTACCCCCTGTCAGGCGAGGTGCTTCTAGAGAAGAACTTCCCGCGCATCCTTACCGTGCTCAACAAGGTGGGCACCATCGAGAACGAGTTCCGCGTGCCCACCTTCGAGGTGCTCGCGGGGGATCCCTCCACCGTCACCGAGGTGAAACAGCACAGCGCGCGCTTCCAGCTGGACTACGCGCAGGTCTACTGGAACTCGCGCCTCGAGTTCGAGCACAGCCGCCTCGTCGACCAGTTCGCGCGGGAGGACGTTATCTGTAAGTGGCGAAGAAAAAGACTTGCCGTTGTTTTAATAAGGTTGCACCTGTCTCTAAGTGAAAGCGAAAGCTGGGAACGCAAGGCGGAATGGATTCTTCATGTGACGATACACCGGTGCGCTCCCTTCGTTTGAATCCAGGTCCGGTCTTCGGCATGAGCCTCGTTGCCCAAGAGACAGCACTTCGTACCCATCTGCTTCCGGTCAATGTAGTCCGCCGCCCTTACAGAATCGATTTTGATGCATAAGTATCTGCATCTCCTCTCACAGGACGTATTGGCCGCTAACCAGGCTGTGTACCAGACTTGATTTCAGTTTATTAGTTGGATATCCAGTGTCTAACCTTGCTCCAAGGCTGCTTATTGCCCAAGTCTATTTATTGGACATACAACCACTTCTTGACCAGCCCCTAACCATCCATGGTTTAACGGCCAAAGACGCCTGATCTACAGGCGACATGTTTGCCGGGATTGGGCCGTTCGCCATCCCTGCGGCGCTCAAGGGCTGCGCCGTTTACGCCAACGACCTCAACCCGCAGAGCACCCACTATCTCGCTATCAACTCCAAGCTCAACAAGGTCAGGCGACTCTGCACAGAAGGCATCTCTTGCTTCGATACCATTTTGGGTCGTTCTACACCGTGTTAAAAGACGTGAGTTGAAGAAAATAGGACGGCCGTTTGACTGTGGTGACTTCGATCGCTGCGCTGCCTGGCAAAGAATGAGCTGAACGTGGTAGTTCCATGCAAACCGGTGCCTACGGTTTCAGCAATCTTCTCACCGCCTCCCTTATTGAAAGACAGTTTTTTCCTGGAAGTGACTCACCGGCACTAGAGAGATTCACAGGCACTAGAGATACGAGTGCCTACCGTTTCATACCCCCGCAATAGCGCTCCTCTAAAGGCTAGGAGTTGCGATCAGGATGGGGTGCTGATGCGAGGCGTGCCCCAGTGCCGGCCCCGAAAAGCTCCGTTTCTGCTTGTAGGTCGCACACCGTATCCGCGTCTCCACTTTGGACGCCCGCGAATTTGTCCGGTCGCTCGTCCGTCCGGCGGAGTCTCAGCCACCTCCCCTCCACCCGCCGTCAAACAGCCCCCCTGTAGATGGTCAGAAGTTCAATAGTCAGGCAAGTGCCGCCGAGAGCAGTCAAGCAGGGCAGCAAATTTCGGACCAAGGGTTGGGGCTTGCCACTTACCGACAAGACAATGTGGGGCCCGCTTCCGCAACAGAAACAACCACGGAGCGGGCGCAGGGGTTTCCGGCTGGGGGAACGGAATCTCGAACCTCCGGGGAAGGTCCAAACGGAACACTTGAAGCTGGCACCGCGAGCAGGCTTTCGCGGGAGGTGGGGAGCAGTAGTGGGCCTGGGGGGGTGCTTCCGAGCACCGGAGGGGCGGGGCAAAACGCATCAGGTGGCAGCGGGAGCGTGCCCCCCGGGGGAAAAGTTGGAAAGGGCGGGAAGGCGGCGGCGGTGCGGCCGCCCAAAGAGCCGGTGCCGGAGACGCCCCGGAAAATCGACCACGTGGTCATGAACCTGCCGGCGTCGGGAATCGAGTTTCTGGGTGAGTGGAAAGGGCAAACTTCCGCTCGATGGACTCGCAAATTTCCTGTGCTCAAAATCGTGGTTCGTGACTGATAAGCTCGGCGAGACTGGACGCTGTTGACGAGGCTGCGAGATTGCTGTCTGTCAGTCCATATAGTTAGCCCCGCCGCCGATCCTTGTGTTCGTTTTCCTGCGATAACGAAGAAGCGGAAAGAAAGGACAAAAGCCCTCACACTGCTGTGGTCCTTCTACAGTTGCTTTTCAGGCAGCAAGGGCGCTGCAAGCTTCTAATCTGATCCTAAAACGCTTCACCTCACGGAGTTCTTGAACGGTCAGAAAATGATCGAATGTGCAGCCAACTGAACCTCTCGCTTGCAAACCCCCGGAGAAGAAGCTTCGATTGTCCGAAGTTGGGAGGTTCACTCCTGATCTGGACGGTTGCAGACTCGGGCCGTCGATGCCGACAAATCTCGCCATCGGACGGCTCAGAATTCGAATCTCAGCAGAGCACGAAGTTGGTCGAGGCGGCCAAGTCTTCCGAAAGGTGCGGTACTAATCGTTTTCTGCTCCTTTCCACGCCTCTTTGCAGACGTGTTCAACGGCCTGTTCGACCGCGCCAGCTGGCGCCTCCCCCTGCCGCGCATCCACTGCTACTGCTTCGCCAGGGCGGATGAAACGGACGCTGACGTCATCAGGGTACGTTATTGCTTTCTCCACCTGTCTTTCGCCACTGCTCGCGGCTGTGCTCGGGCGCTAACCTGGATAGGTGGTGCGCTTCTTTGTTTTCAAAGCCGCCAATTGAGAGTGCGAGACGATCTAGGGCTCTTCAAAGTGGGTCCCTTTTGAAATGTTGATTGCATAAGCTTTGCAAAAAAGATGAAACTCCGCTTTCTGAGCTTTCTGACTATCTGACGACACCGGCCTCCATTTCCCCGCGACCACACCGAGACTCTACTGCACCTTCCCCTTGGCGGTTGCGACACCACAGCAGCTTTTGGAACGATGACGAAGCTTCCAACTTTATAACAAGCCCGTCCTGAAAGTTGCTGTGCCATCCTTGCAGCGCGCTGAGGAGGCGTTGGGAGGGGCGATCCCTAAGCCAGTCGTTTGGAACGTTCGTGATGTGGCCCCGAATAAGGTGAGACCGCTTGTCTCTTTCTGATGTCCTTCAGCGTAACGTCGCTCTGTTTCATGAAGTTGTGTCACTCATGGTGTCAGCGACTCTAGCCAGTCCAGGAACACATTTTCTGGTCTGTTCTCGTTTCAGTTTTCCGTTTCTCGTCCTCTAGAAGGTATGGGACCGGTAGTGGTTGCAGGGTCGGTCATGGGCTGCCTCTGGAGTAAAAACTAGGGGCCTTTGAGATCCGCTATCCAGACCCGCTCGTGACGTCAGCACAACTTGCGCGGCAGACCTGGTTGCTTTTCCCGTCTGATCTCTTTGTGCTCGCTAAGAGCAACAGTTGCTGCATCATAGCAAGCCTGACGCGGTATCGTCTTGTGCATCGCAGACAATGCTCTGCGTTAGTTTCACTCTGCCTGACGATGTGGGCTACAGTCAACAGGATACAATGCATATGCAATGCTCATCTGATAAAAGTAGCGACGTCGAGTCCCACGAGAACCCGAATTTTTCGAAAAAGTCGAGAGTAGAGTAACTTAGGCATGCAGACCAATGTTGATTGAGTTTTGTTAGATGGCCCTGAGGCTCGGGCGCAATGTCCGACTCTCATTCACGACAATACTCGTTCGAGGAACTTGCTTAAGTTGACTATATCATTTGCTCAGCAATCTCTTCCTATCCAGTCCTGATAGAATTTAGCGCGGTTCAAGCCCCGTTCAAGCTCAGTTGATGCTATGTTACGAAACAATGTTGTTGCATAGGAATGCATCGGGCCCACGTCTTGAAGAGATAGTATATGTTTTACTTTTTTGCATGGTCCATCTAGAATTGAACATCGCGAAGGTGTACATGAGTCCATACGTGCTGGCCATGCGCACAATATCGTGACGGTGCTTTGAGTGCACATGATCATTATTGCGGATTTCCATTTTTGAGCATGACCATGGAACGCGCCAAATGCTTTCACGCGTGCTTGGTTCAACTTGAGCATATCGATCGTTGCTTTAAACACATGCAGGATCATCGATAGTCTGGCGGCATGCGCCTCATATAGGGGCCTGATCGGCCCCGCCATATCAATTGTCATGATGTGGTGCACAGTGACAGTCCCAAGCGACATGATCTCCGACCATACCTAGTATTAGTCATTGTTCATCAAGATGACCAGAATGATTCACGGATCTTCAACGCAGCTCGAGAGTTCGTACTATGCAAACATCTTCTCCAAGGGCCCTCATATGATCAAGTCAGATTCTTGTAACTCGTAAAAGACCGATACTATACATGACACATTGTACACAGTCCTTCTGTCTGTATTCTTCAGGCATCAGCTGACGCGGCGAATGCCTGATGTCAATAGCTTACTTCCTACCTTCAAACACATGGAGTCTGGAGGAGCTACAAGGCTTGCAACAGGTTTTCTTACTCTGCAGCGTGACCACTGAAGCAGAAGGACCCTGATATGTACAGTTTAACCATGTCACTATTGCGCAGCCGTTCCAGGATTGCTGCGGGAGCCAGCACGCAGCGTGTAGCCACCTTCAATCAGTGTTCGTATTTTGGGTTGGCATCAATCTTCCATGGTGTACAAGTTAAACTCCTCACTTACTTTCACCCCGTGCAAGAGCCTGTTTGATTGCAGGGACTGGGCCAGTTTCCTTCAATTTTGCCCTTCGATCAGCCTGCAGAGTAAATCATCAATGTCATTTTCAATAGCAAATAGACTCTTCGCTGATAGCTAGTGCACAAGGTGCACACATTCTCAATGCCGATGGTAAAGGGAAGCTGATGGTCCTGGGGGCAAATGGTGGGCCATTTAACAAACTTTTAGAGACTGATGAGAAACCCCCTCAGCTGGACAGTTCAACAGCTACCAGAACGCTAAAGTTGATTTCATAGGGGCTAATATTTTGTTGGAGAAACTACATTGCTCGCCTAGCTATTAGTTTTTGAAGCATGACACTCATACTTAGGAATTGTCCTGAATGAGGGGCATAACAAATAATACAGATGGCTCAAGCATCCGATGGTCACCATTCTGTGTACTTGGATGGTATCTTTATGAATGCCTGCAGACATTCTCTGTCAATTGCCTGCTACTTAGCATCCATGGAAGTTGATCTGTGTGCTTCACAGAATTGAAATGCATTCTCACCCTCTCTCTTCGTTCGTTGCTGACTATATCTTCCAGCTTCGCAATCTGCTCATTCGTGTGCGCTTCGACTCTGGCTTCCCTCTCCAGCTCTTGTTGCAACGTCTCTTGACGGGGCGGATGTTTTAGCAGCTCACTCTTTACAGTATTGGCTGCAGCCTCCTTCCTGTGTGGCTTGCCCATGTGTGCAGACAGCCAGGGTTGGCCATGAGGGTGGTTTGGTCCCTGACTGGGCATTGCTTCCAGCGGAGTAGCGTTCAGAAATCTGATCTCACTGTCAGGAGCTTCAAGTTCTTGACAATCAAGCATGAGCATGAGCATGAGCTACCTACCAGAGCGTCCTTTCAAGTTTCTGGTCCTGTAGACATCTGAACGTACTGTTCCAACCAGTACTAGTAGAGTAGGTATGTAATTTCACTATTTTCAACTGCAACGTAGACGTAGGCATGACATCACCGGTACCTACGGTGAACAATGCGGCGGTACGCTACCGTGTCGAAAATGGTCGGTACCGTGCAGGCACTCGATTGCAGGGTGACGGAGTGCTCGGGGGATGTTAGGGTTACTAGAGGGCAACCGACTGATCTTGGTAGGGTTAGTTGGGGGGTTAGGGTGGGTACGGGCGGGCTATGGCGGAACGCCTTAGGGTATCGTCAAAACCCGGTTCCTGCTCTCAGTTTGACCTTAGGGTTTTAGGTTTGGCAGGCCCTTAACTATGATGACGTCGCAGTTGAAACTAGTGAAGTTACATACCTACGTCGTTCCAACTTGAAACTTGAAACTTGAAACTTGAAACTTGAACCTTCGATTTGATTCATCCTTGATTGAAGTCGATCACGGGAGATCGAGACCGTTCAGAATTAAAGTGAGACGTCTACTGGATTGCAACCCTTCACATCCTTTTACAAAAGGCCCTGATCCCGATCGCGACCTCAGCCGCAGCTAGTTTGTTTCTCGCACTAGCTGGCAGGGTTGAAACTTGAAGCCGAAGAATTCCCCCTCCCTTCCGGCCATTTCGCATTGCAAAGTCACTTTCGTTCCTTCCAGCCGTCTTCTCACGAGCCTGATGCGTCAGGCGCTGTCGAATGCTATCAGAGCCTTCAAGATTCCTGCTTACTTAGCACGATCTGAGCAGCCTCGCTGATTCGATCTCAATAAGCTTCACCGACGTTTGACAGAGCTCTGCCACTTCCTTCCTTTCTCCACAACGCTTTCACCATGGTGAAAAAGGAGGGTGTGTTGGCCTTATTTGATGTTGATGGCACCTTGACAGATCCAAGGAAGGTGAGGTTGTTGTCTCATTTGCAAGTCATTCGAGATTCATCAGCTTCGCTTTGCAATCCTCTTTGAGGAAAGAAGGAAGGAATGCTGAATTTATCCCGCTGATGATAGATCTCTAGTACTTTTTCTGACTCCTGCAAACCTTCTCCCCAGGTTGCTTCTGTTGAGACGCTTGACTTCATCAAGGAGCTGCGCAAGGTGGGGACTTGACAAGCCAAATTCGGATGATTGTCAAATAGCTCAGCATTCATTGGACAGTCTTCTGAGTTGAGGCATCCCTTTAAGCTGGCTGCTATACCACTGCGATGCACAAATCTGCCACAGCCTGTCGGCCATGTTGAGCATGTGCCTTCTAGTAGGACATTGTGTGGAGCATCTAATCCAAGTGCCGTTCTGTGACCAGCATGTCACCGTTGGTGTTGTGGGAGGATCAGACTTGGTCAAGATCAGCGAGCAGCTTGGCAGAACAAGTAAGTCACTTCACAGTCACTTCACTTCAACCGTTCCCTTCGTTGCATCCTGTCTATGTCTGCTGACACTTTAATTTGGAGCGTAACGAGAAGCTTCTTATCGGCCAACTGATCCTTTGTCTGTCACCTCACATTCCTGATTTCTTCCTCAATTACAGCCTTGACGGACTTTGACTACGTCTTTGCTGAAAATGGACTGGTGGCGTTCAAGGATGGGACCAAGTTTGCGGAGATGGTGAGACTCGTCGTTCATAGGACAGCAAGCACAAGTTGCTCTGATGACACTCAAAAATGCATCAATCAAGGCTACAGCAAGCCTTTATGTCCATCCTGTCCACTGAGCTATATGTGTAAGTCCCGCTCGCATTATCACCCCTCCTGACGTCAATTCTGTATGCAGAGTCTCAAGAAGCACTTGGGAGACGACAAGTTGAAGGTAAGCGCTTAGGATCAAAATGGACTTTGAGCTGTGTAAAGTTTTTGCAACTTGCAACAACTGTGCAGAGTGAAACCAGATTTGCAGCTTCGCATTAGGTCTGGTAGTTCAGGCTCAGCGGTTTCAAGGCACCCAACCTTTCAGCCCTACCTGTTGATTACAAGACAAGTGTCTGGTAAGTCTCTTGTGAGTGTCTCAGGCAATGTGACCGATGCAAACCGCAAAGACTAGCAAACTCGTCTTTGCAGGAATTCATCAACTTTGTGCTGCACTACATCGCTGACCTGGACATCCCTATCAAGAGGTGAGGTACATGAGAGCTCAACTCATGCTCAGCTGATGCTGTTCCAAATGAGCTGGCTCCACGATCCTCAATCCTACTCAGAGTCTTGTGCAGTCAAGCAAAATTATTCCAATGATTCATCATCCAGACGTTAATCTGTGCCCTCCTTCTGTGCAGGGGAACATTCATTGAGTTCCGCACTGGTATGATAAATGTCTCACCGATTGGACGCAACTGCAGCCAAGAGGAGCGCGACGACTTTGAGAAGTATGACAAGGTCGGTTGATACGGTGCACTCAAAGAGACAAGCTGAGATTGCTCATATACACATCTGCTCCAGTTGGTATAAGGTCCCAAGCAAAGCCCCAGTACGAAAGGCCTTTGAACTTGCACCTCCAAATAGTAATAAACAGGATTCCTCTTCAGATTCATCCATATCAGTTGTTGGCATTTTTGTGGACCACAATCAACGAAGCATGAAGCTTCAAACTGTTGATCTGAACGAACACAATCACAGTGGGTGACTGCAACAGTTTCTAAACTCAGCTGGTTTTCTTTTGTTCCAGGTGCACAACGTGAGAGCTAAGCTGGTTGACATCCTGCGGGAGAAGTTTGTCCACCTGAACTTGACGTACTCGATTGGAGGCCAGATCAGCTTTGACGTGAGTTTCTCTTTCACTGGCTGTACTAGTACGGTAAAAGCACAGATGTCTTGTCGAAGCAACTTGGTTGTTTCACTAGGCTTCCGAAGTTGCCCCTTTTTATGTCGGGTGTATCCTTATGCAGGTGTTTCCTCAAGGTTGGGACAAGACCTACTGCCTGCAGTTTGTTGAGAAGGAGTTCAAAGAGATTCACTTCTTTGGCGACAAAACATACAAGGTAAGAATTCCGGCACTTGGTCGATTCCGTCTGAGGACCTTCGATTAATGCAGTCATGATTCTCCTCTGGACCAAAAGAGGTATTGCAGTGAGGCAATAGAGGCGGAATTTAGTCTGTTTCTGTTCTGTACGGGTGTCTCCGACCGAATCGTCCAATTACTCCCTCATCCGTTTGCGAGCTCTTCTTGTCACTTGAAGTCCGCGCGCTTCGGAAGGCTTTCCTGACTTCACATGACAGCCTTAAAATTTTGCAAACGTTCTTGTGGCAGGGAGGCAATGACTACGAGATCTTCTCCTCCGAAAAGACTGACGGCCACACAGGTATGCATCTTTAGATTCAACGTTTATTGTATGCTGAAAACCTCGAGCATGTCACCAACCGCTAAGGAATTTGCGCTGCCTTCTGTCCTTGATGCAGAGGTGTTGAGCTTTCTGTCTGAACATCAGGCAGGGGTTGACTTCGCTGTCTTCTTCACGCCTTGCAGTAACCAGCCCTGCTGACACAAGAGAACAGTGCACTAGACTCTTTTTGCAAGATTCATAGCAGGGGCTGGAAACAGCTCGCGGTGTTGGGACAGGTGCCCATTGAACGGTACAAGCGGTCGCTGACCTCGATTGATCATGTCGTTGAGACAGGAGTTGACTCTAATCTGCATTTGCTCTGACCCTTGTGACATCTCAACTGCAACGTCTGATCGGATTGTCGGCCAGAAGGTTCACCTTGTCGACATCAATCTAGCGTCCTTGAATCGACTCTGTTCGGTTTAATCATTCCTTGTGTGCACCGGCGAAACGATCGCCCCGTCCTTGTAAGATGATTGAGTTGCAGTCCAAGCAGTAGTTCGACAGATCCTAGTTGCACTTCCTTGTGCTCCACGAGGCTGCTCTGCTTCACCGAGTGCTCTAGTACATGCCGGATGTGTGTCATGCTGCATGTGACAATATAGTTGCCATCGCGTAATCACGCGCGGCCCCATCTAGCTGTTTGAAATATCGGCGCATGGGCAGCTCTCGACTCGGCGACCGTCAATAGATAGATTCCGCGTCAATAGATAGACGAGTCCGGCGTACTGTGAGTATGTGACAAAATGTGATCGACCAGCTTATAAGCTGTAGATTCTCACTGAGTACATTTAAGAGCTGAGTGCATGGCTCATCAATTATAGCGACGGTGCTATAGAATGCAGGCGGCCCAGCCGCTTCTGTGCAGTACTCACTGGCCGGCACTGAGTGAGCTATAGTGACAAGCCGCACATCAACTATGTAATTATAAGCTAGCTCAGTCTGGCATTGCAATTGACCCGGATGCGCCATGATGCTGACATGCAATGGCGCAATACTCTAAGCCCCGGGGCGGGCGGCCGCCGGCTCGCGCGCTGGCATGCAAAGATTTATAGATCTCTATACTTACACTGTGGTTATAACGCAACGATCATACACGAACGTCCGACGACTGTTATAATTGCACATGTACGTGTGTCATATTACGTTTCTTTGCAACGTACATATACATTATTGGGTCAAGGAACCGTACTATTTTGCCGGGAGACCGCGTGCCTAAGTGCTTCTAGTGTACGATACACTGTGTCCTATCCACAGCATTCTTGAAAGGTCTGATTGTAGAACCTTGACACGGTTCAGGAGGAGTGCACGTACTTTGATAATATGTACAAACTTTACCACACTCGTGTGTACTTGTGTGGCCGGCTTACAAGCACTCCTATATATCTGTTCACCTACCAGCTCAGAAACGCTGATTCTCAGATAATGCTATCCTGATCTTCCCCAAGTCCGCAGTCTACCAAGCAGATACTTGCTCTACTCAATGGCCTGTGGGAGCCTTCTTACAGTCCGAGCAAGAACCTGAGAGTCGTGATCCATCCCCATGGATGCCACCATTTCCGTCAGTGCGTTGTAGCGCTCCTCACTTAGGAACAAGGGCTTGCCGCGTCTTAGGTCGATATCCTGCGGTGGCATTGCGCGGACATGAGAGAAAACTCGAATACGTTTTTCCAGAATTTCATGAGAATCAGCAATAACATTTTGACCAGACAGGAGTTCACCGTTGAAAAACAAGGTTGACAACCTGGGCGGGTGTGCAACTTTGGGCCCGCGTATCTCAGGTGTTCAAAGAACATTGAGTTGGTCCAAGAGTGGAAGATGACCGCAAGAGCTCTCAACAATCAAACCTCGGCGTTGAAGTTTGTTTCCAAGAGGCAACTTTCACCTTCTCCGGTCTTTTCGCGCTTTTTAAAGTATTCAATATGTCATGGAAAGCTTGGCTATGAGTACAAGTTCATGCGCTGCTCCGTCGCCTTGGCATCTGTAACCTACTGTTGAAGGCGTCTGCATTGATACTCAAGATCGCGCCAGATACTAAGGCCACACACAGTTCATAGCGATCGATCTCGACCGCTCGTTCGGATGTAGATAGCTCTTTCAGGGTTGACGCATCCGATGCAGCAATGATGCACACGCAAAGTATATATTGGGTAACCAGCTTTGGCGCACATGCTCCGCATTTCACTTTGGGAGGTAATTGGGATCGTGGGCAACTCACCGAACAGGGGAGTAAAATCAAGAGGGAGGAGGTGTGTTCCTGAGAAGGATCGAAACAAGGGAGAAAAAAGGAGAGGTCCCTGAAACACAGTTATTTGCTACGAGAGGGCAGAACTAGGATGAGATAAGAGCGTACCTCCTCGCCATGTGCATCTAGGTATGGCGAGAGCCAGACGGTTTGGCGACCGTTCCTCAGCAGCGTAATGGTCGTCCGGCGCAGGAAAAGGAAGACGCCGACACCAACCCCGCACTCGGAGGCGTGGCGGTAGCACTCCCCGCGGTTGTCCACTCTGCAGAAACAGACGTGGTGTCAAGAGGGCGCCCTCAGAAGCAAAGTGCCTTGTTTGACACTGCAAGGCAGAGGACCGTTACCAGGTTTGACGGAGAGCACCTCGGCGGGTGCTGAAGCAAAGTCTAAGCTCTCGTGAACTCGTATAGAAATAGGAAGCTTTGCTTCATAGAGAATACTGTCGCCGAGAGAGAGAGAGAGGTTACTTTCATCTGAGCGCCTGTCCTTCTCTTTTCGGGAGCGGATGAAAGTGGGAGGACGGAATTGTCAATACGATCCACGAAGCGACAGCTGTGTCTAGGTATTAAACGCACCCTCAGGAGCTTACAGCTCCTACCTCAAGCGCAGCAGGAGCTCTCTACGCAGCCTTGCGACGAGGTTTAGATCGCCGCAATCCATGGCGGCAAAAGACCCCCAATTACAAAGCCGGTCACATCTTAAATTCGCTCAACAAACTCGAGCGCCGAGGCAGTCACTGATCCCTCCCGACAGCGCAGGCAGACCTCGCGCGAAAACGAAAGGAAGAACGAAGTGATGTCACAGCTGTTGTAAGCGAGTTCCAGCGCGCGTCACGCTATCTCACCTGCAGCAGGCCTTGCGGGAGTGGCCGCAGAGGAAGGCGCCGCACACGAGGCAAAGGACGGGTTGCACCGGGACCGTCTTGCAGAGTCGACACTTGGCCTTGACATACCTGCGAAGAAGTGGGACGAAGATGGGAAGCCAGAACAGTTTGAACGTTGGAAGTGCTTCCTATTTACGGCCGTCGGGCGGAAGGACTACGCAGCACGGGCTGATAGACGGCGTAGTGTAGCCGGCTGTCGATTCTCGAGTTTCTTAGTCGGTGCGAAGAAAGTGTGGGAATCTTCATTGCGCGATCGTTGACCGGGTCGAAGTTGACGACGGGCAAGTGAGGACTCGGCTCTGATTATTTTTGTGGAAGAGACGTGCCTGGAACGAACGGTGACCCCAATTGAAGACCCAACGGTAATCAGACGAGGCCCCCCTCGGCCCTCTACGAAAGCAAGACCTTAAGGTCCTCGCGGCTTAAGTTGATTCAAACTTCGATACTGAAGCTCAAGGAATATGCTGGACGAGAGGACCAAACCCAGGCAGTTGCTGCAAAATAGAAGATTGCTCGTTCTCAACAGGTTCCTCGTTCCTGTTGTCAGATTCGAAGCATAAGCGCTTTGGATGAAAGTGATAACAGAACAGTCGCTGAAAGAGGTCAAAAATTTCATCAAACCACGCGGTGTGCTGGCAGTACGAAGTCCCTACGAATGATGATGTCCGATTCACGGCCGTATAGTTTCGCTTTTGACCACGTCACCTTGCCAAGCGAGAAAACTCTACCCTCACTCCCTCCCAAAGCGCGTTTTTCGGCCGACGCCAGTCATACCGTCACCCACCTCTGAAACAGCTCGTGGTAGTTGCGAGGCAGTTGCATCAGCTGGAACGGCCTCGCATCCCTTTCCCCCCGGTACGTCTCCACCCCGCGCCACCCCTCGACCTCCGCCTCGAAATGCCGCTGCCACGTGTCCGCCGGGGCCGCCACATCAGCACGCTCCGCCGCCGTGATCCGCTCCAGAGCGAGTCCCAGGTCGGCTTCAAGTACAAGCGCTTCGAGGTGCCCCGCGCCGGCTTCGATGACGTCAGCGGCCTCTTCCGGCGGGGCGACGATGCGCGTGCGCGACGCAGCGGAGCGCGCTGCGGCAGCCGCAGCGGATTCCGCCGGAGAACGGAAGCTGGGGACGGAACCCGGGTGCAGCGCTTCCAGGAGGAGGGCGCTCTGGCGCAGGAAGGGGAGGGACATCCGACGGAGGCGCTCAGCGCGTGTCGCTTCCGTCGGCGGAACGGACGCCTCCTGGTTGGAGGGTGCGTGGGGGCAGGAATTACACGCCTGCATGACGTGGAGCAGAGGCGTAATGACCAGCACTTTTGGGGTTTTAGGGTACGAGAGTATTTAGGGCTTCAGGGTCTTAGGGCCGCATGCATTGCCGGGCAGTTTGGAAGTTCCGTGTTTCAAACTCAGAGAAGGGGGCCAAAGCAGATGCACAATCGGAGGGAGGGGGTATCGAAGGGCAGTCGCAGAAAGAGCATTGACGTTTCCAGGGACGGACTAACTAGTTTTCGCTTGACTCCCAAAGAGGTCAATACTCGCAGAGTGGTCGAATCTAGGAATAGAAAGCCCCAAAAAGGCCCTCAACTACCACAGCATATTTGCGTCCTGAATCCGCTTGCTCTGCGCCCGAAACCATCCCAACTCTCAAAACTGACCCCATCCGTCCCAGGGTGCTTAGCTACCCGTCCTGCCCGCTTATGATCCCCAAACTCAACCTTCATCACGCTTACCTCCAACAATACTAGGTGCAGAAAGCGTATCAGCGCCTTCATTCCCTCCGCATCCAAGAGGTCCCCCTTGAGGACGTACAGCAGGCGAACTAGAGTGGAGAACGGGTCGTGGAACAGGACGGGGTCCGCCAGCAGCCGCCAGAAGCGCGTCTCCGCGGCCGTTCGATCCGAGTGCCCGGCGGTCAGCTCGCTGGGGAGTTCGTCCCTGCACAAAAAGCGAAAAGAGCAAAGGTTTCCTCACTGGAAAGTGGTCAGTCTGTCTGCTTGGAGGCGTTTTGTTGTCCGGACGACCCGACTCGAGCAAAAATTCTCCCGTTCTCTTTGTGGCCGAATCCTGCCGTTGAGGTCGACAAGCCCTTTCAGATACCGGAGGGACACTCCAAGCGGTGCATGGTATGAATTCTTCGGCCGCTGCTTGAAATGTCGCCAAACCAAGAGATGGGAACGATTGTGGGCGCCGAGAAAACGAGACAGGCCAAAGGTGGCTAAGACCAGCGGAAGCGCATGGGATTCTGGAAATGAGACAGCTTCCTTCAGTTCTGCAAAACGTCTTGACTCCCTTATCTGGACCTCCCCCTGAGCAGTGCCTCTGCAAAAACTCCGAAAACAGCATGAACTTCCGAAGTGTCTACAAAACACCTGAGCTCCCTTACCTGGACTTTCCCCTGAGCAACGCCCCCGCCAGGATCTGCAGCCCCCGCGCCCGGAACAGCTGCTCCGGAATGCTCGCGCCGCGCAGCGCGATCGTCGCCTGCGCCAACGGCCGCAACACTGAGCGACCCTCGTCCCCCGCAGCAGCCGCGAGCGCCTCGAGCCGCTTGCTGACGTGATCAGTGACGTCAGACTGTGCCCGCTCGACCTGGGAACTCTCTTCCTTCGGCACACTGGCGCCGGTATCCGTCACAGCCCGCTTGCCTTTGTCCGGAACCGCGCCCTCTGCGCCAACGTCGCTCGTGGACCGTCCAAGTTTGTCCAAAATCCCCGCACCCCTTTCCGGCGACCCGCTCACCCTCCTCGCGGCCAGCTCGGTCGCCTGCACGGTGAACCCCAGCGCCTCCCACAGCTCCAGCCCGTGTGTCGGCCTCGTTCGGCCCGACAATCGCGCACCCCGTGTGGCAAGGTTCTCCAGAGCCCCCGTGACCTCCGGCGCAACCGGTGCCTGATTGCGGCCCGACGCCCAGTAGCTTTCGTCGATGCCGTACGGGCCGTTGGGGTCCGTCCGTACCTCCGCGTCGAGAATCAGCTTTACGGCGGGGCGCACATACTCCGCGATTGGCATGCCGGCACCCGTTTCCCCCGGACGAGCCTCCGCTTGCGAACTCGGACCTGTGTCTGGTGCATCTCGGGGTGACTCCGACACTGCTGGGGGACCGGTTGAGGAGGACGCTCCATTTTGTGCCCGGGGGGGGACCTCGCCTGCGGCTGAAGCGCCCCCAGGAGAGGGGCCGGGGGTTGCAACCGGTGATGACGTGGCTCCGTTTTCGGCCCCGGGGGGCACCTCGCCAACAGCTGAAGCGCCCGCGGGACTGGAAGCGGGGACTGCAGACGGTGCTGACGTCAGCAGTGCGTTTGAGGGCGCGGCGGGCAGCATGGGGAGCGCGGCATTGGCGAGGCGGCGGCAGACGGGGCACAGGAACTCGCCCGCGTCGAGGCTGACGATGTGCGCGCCCTCGAAGAGTTCTCTGCAATTGGACGGTATGCACAGAGCAGACGTAAGTACTCTTGAGAATGCGAGAGTTGTCCAGACTTGCAAGGGTCAGTGTCAAGTAGAAAGTATTTGGAGTATCCCTTAAAATTATCTTTCGGCAAAGGCCTTTGATTCCGCCATCCGAGCCCAAGTAAGCAGCAACGTTCACAAGCAATCCCCTTTCCTTATTGGACCCTTAGCGACGCACAATTCAAGAGAAAAGGCCGTCGAAGACAAACAGATCCAACAGCCTGGACAGCCCTTAAGCACGTTGCCCCAATTCAGGCAGTCGATCTTTGGAATTCGGCCGTGCACCTTCCGAACGGCTTGAAAAGAGGGAACCCGGTCTGCGAGCATATTCACACCGCGGGCCCTACCTCTGCATGCTCGACTGGTACAGGCTCTGGAAGTAGCCCTCCAGGCACTTGGCGTGAATCGCGTGGCCGCACGCCCGGAAGTGCAACCCGACCCCGTCTTCCGCTTCCGCTTCCGCAGCCGGCTGAGCCTCCGCCGCGATACGATGGTACGTCACGTACTTGGTGTAAAGGCCCCGCATGACGTCATCCGACGGCCCAGCCACCGTGGCGTCGTCGCCAGCAGCCGCGCGCAGCCATTCTAGTTCCTGCTCCGGCGCAGCGCCCGAACCTGCGTCCGTTGTCTGCCCAGGCTCGTTGCTACGATCGTCCGGACGCCCAAAGAGGGCGTGGCTTAAGGCCTGCAGGGACCCTTCCGCCTGCTCGAATTGGGGGATCCCTTCCTCGGACGCACTGAGACGTGCTGGTGCGGCCGCGCTTCCTTCGCCCGCCCCGGTGCCGCTCTGTACCTCAGCGTCGCGCAAAGCTCCTTCGATTACGCGTTGGAGGGCCGCGTAGTCCGGCTGCCCTCCATCCCCTCCCGCCCTCCGCGCTGCTGCACCCGGCCCAGCGGGGAACATGGCACCGTGAGCCGCCAGAAGCTGCCTCTGGAACGCAGCGGCGGCGGCTTCCTCTAACGCAGCATCGACTCCGGCCTCGCCCACTGGCCCCTCCACTCGTCCCCTTTCTTCTCCCCCCTCTGCCGCATTTCGCCCACCCC